CATCATATCCAAATGACACAGCACATATCTCGCATTCATCTTCCATTTAACAATCCTAACGTTCCTTTCTTTTTCATATATCTTGAAACAAATTTTGCCATATTTAGATTTCACCTTATGATATTTTATTTTTTGCTGACGTTGATTAATATTTAGAGTTATTTTCTCAAAGTGGAGTCACAACATACCATTTGGAAAATTAAAAAGTCGACAAACAAATTCTGGGGATCGCCAAGTTCATTTCGGTAAAATAGATTGCACGTATTTTGTCATTGTAGGTTGGACTTTCGGCGTTCATTTTGCATAGTGCATTATCCTTAAATCATGAGTGTGAACCTGTGGATGGCATCGTTCGTGTAAATATTGTGAATAAATCTCTATTTAGAAGTGACGAGGGAGAAGACAAAGGAGGTCGTTTACCTCAACGCTCCATCCATTCTTATATTTTTGAGATTAATTATCATGTTTCCACTGTTTGCAGGTATAATGTACGTGAAAAAGTTCTTTAAATATGATCCATCATGGAATTTAGGAAATCCAAATAACGTGCTTTATTGATTATTGTATGCAAGAAAGAATAATTCACGAGATTTACCTGAATAGCTCGATCGAATGACCAAGTATTTCAAGGACTATTTCGTTGGGTATGCTGACAGCCATGTTTTCTTAGAATGAGATTAAAATCACTAATTTTTATTGTATTATCGTTACCATGCACACAGAATAATTTATGTCATAAATACAGTACAGTAGACTACAGTGGTTTATATCTACAGTATAACTCTAACGTATAATTTAAAGATAAAAAAAAAAACAGATCGAGTCTTTTCCAAGAATAGCAATCGTTCATCACATTACAACTAGTCAAATTTACGCGCCCTGGCTTTTCCCTTTCCATCAAAGGGTGTTTTGATATCAGAACTTCCTGAAACTGAACTCGACAAACTTGGTGAAAGCTCAAACGAAGAGGTGGATGGAAAGATATTATGATTATGATTGCTGGAAAAGAATGTCTTCTTTTGCAGCAAAACTTTTGTTGGAAAACCTATCTACATTGAAATTCTTTTCCCTTGTTTGCTGATGATAAGCAACATCATTATTAACACAATTTTATACATAGGAACAGTGAATGGTTAACTCAAATCTTACCTTGATTTTATTTTTATTATTATTTAAAATTATTTAATTGATTTTCTTTTATTATATCTTCAAAAATAAATCAATAAAATATTAAATTATAAAAAAAATTATTTATGAAATTATTAATTAAAATATAATTATAAAAAAATTGTCATTTTTTTTGCACCATACTATATATAAGCTATCATATTTTCAATTAATTGTTTAATTTAAATGACATTAATTAATTTATTATATAATAAAATATAAAAATTTATTGCCAGTTATAACTATTTTCCTTAAAATTAAAATATTTATCAACATAATTTGTTTCATCTAATAAAATTTATTGTTGTTTTTTTTTTTTTGTTTTTTTATCAAATCTTCAAGTACATACAATATTAATATTTTTATTATTATATAATTTTATTTAATATATAAATATTCATTTAAGTTTTAAGTATTTATATAAAAAAAAGTTTATTAAAATCAAATTATTTATTATTAAAAAAATTAGATAATAAAATTGGTACTAATTTTTAATTTTTATATTTTCAGAAATTAATTTTTTTTTTTATAATAATACCTTGTTTATTAAATATTATATTAAGTATTTTTAAGTACAGAGTATAGCTCTATTTATTTCCTAAATTATCTAAAATAGAAAACTACCTACCAGTCAGCCTGTTGCCCTTTATACCTTCTATATTATTAATGCCAGAGCCCTAATAGCATAAGTAAAAAATTAACTTGCCAGTATATATATCTTTAAGTTTACTGAGATAACCTTTTCAATGATAGTT